CAATCACAACATCCTGCAGGGTGGAGAAAACCATTCTGTAATTTCAAGACTTTCTCACTGCACTGTTATAAAGTAACTATAGTTGATGAAGGTGTCGAAAAAATTCAGAATAAACACAACCCATCATTTTCTCTGGCTACGATTTATTGCAAGGTTATGGTAAATTGAAACATTTACTTTGGGTATGACTTAACCAAAATAAAATGCATATTTTACAAGACATCAAGTTCCCTTTACTCTCAATAATTGAGGCATAAATAATACTGAAAGAGTTTGTATGTATCAATATTTCAAAATGTTGGGAACCTTCTAGAAGACTTCATTTGTAGAATGTTGGGACCCAATGGAATTTCATAATGATCTAAGGATGATTAGCCTTGAAACTTAACAAACTACACCGTGATGAAGTACATGAATAAAATGGCTGTTCACTGCAATAGCACAGCTGTGGGAGAGTAAACCAGTGTGCCTTCCATAAATTTTCCAGAAAACACTGCTCCACTGAGGTATTATAACTTTACTAAAAATTTGTGCACATTTGTTTCTAGACAGGCTATCAAAGTGACTACCAGTAATGAAACAAAAGCATCATTTCCTCATTGCAACACATGCAGGATATCTTGACATGACACAGAAAACCATTTTATGGATTTGATACAGTTGTAATGTTGTGAACAATTTTTTCTATGAACTACACCACAGACCAGTAACCTATCTAATAGGTGGACCAGTTCATTGTAAAAATGCTTCATTATCCCTTGTGTGTTGAAATCACAGCCCTGACCTCTTCTATCACCTCTTTTAATTGTTTGAGAAGTAATTACAAATTACAGTAATTTGCCAGTCGCAGAGTAATTATTTTCATATTTTTCTGGTCTATGATTTATTGAGTGAACACCTATAGATTATAGAACCTCTTAGAAAGTTTCCTCACTCATTATTTTGTTTTGGAGGGTTGGAGTGTTGAAGCCCAAGTTTTGGTCAATCCCCACATACTGAGGGGGGCGGGGGAATGGAGGAAGAGCATATGAAAAAAAGTGCAGCTGAAATAGATTGGATTTGGTTATTGTCACTTTTAAAGATGTCACTTTCAAGCAAGTGTCCAAAAACAGTTTATTAAGGATTGTCAGTTGGTAAGCATAATGGTGATCTCTACCTTTCCATCACTACATTGATACATCACCCAGTTCATAGGAAAACAAATAAATAGGCAAACCAGCCTGCCACAGGTGTTGAATACAACAGAAAATTCTCTGATTACCTTTAACGCTAAAACAAACCCCTATGATGCTCATTAGTTTCCAGGGAGGAATTTTAGGGGGCGGTTATTATATGGGGAGGGTATTTTACTTTGGAGAGGGTCTTTTTTTTCTGGGCTTCCTGGCAATGAGGCTTATATGAGGGTGTTTTTTCTTAAAAAAACCAGCTACAATTTAATTCAATGTTTCCTGTCTGAAGTACATGTATAAGTCAGATTTGATTAATATGGAATAAAAATGTATTTCATTTGTTGAAAAAACCCACACAATTTAATTATTACAAACACTAAACCAGGTATACACGTATATTTTAAACTGAATTGCCTTCTAAACCCAATAAAATCAACAAAACCACAACATAAATACTAGTGCAGCATTATCAAGTCATTACCATGAGGCCTCTATCATGTTAAATGTTGTACTTTTTTTACAATCTTTTATAAACAGATGAAGGACGACGAAGGGGTTGGGGGGCTGATTAGAGAAACTGAAGCGCAGGGTGAGAGGGTCACTGGCATCTACAATGATCAAAGAGGCAAGGTATAACTGCTAGCATATGT